AAAAAAGCTATTTTAATGATTAAGACAAACTCGAGTTATTTAATCCATTGATGTGACCTTTCAGAAGTTCAACATGTAATACATCCATGCTACGAGGAAAAAGGTTTTAATTATCTTTGCTTCATTTAACAACAAAAAAAAAACAGAGCGGTATTTCAGGACAGAATTCTCAAACACCAATATGAAGAAAATACTAAATACTCTGAACAGTCTGAATATTTTTATGGCTTTTGATAAACTGGAGCCCTCAAATGTTATGGGCAGATGCAAAATTTACCACCTGAAAGGCAGCACAGGGAGTTTGTCCAACTCCAAGACCTTCCTTTGCCGAGATAATTAAGCAAGAGATGTTACTTTTTCTTTGCTGCTCCAATTCCTTTCCACTTCCCCCAAAGCAATGCTTTCCTTCTGCACTAAAAGGCAGGAGAGGTATTTTGACATTCATATAAAAGCAATGAAGAGCAGAAATAAGTGGAGATGAGGGTGGTGGACTATGGATGGGCAGCTAACAGGCTACAACACAAAATGGCCAAGTGTGATGCAAAGTTAGTTCACCACAGAAGGGAGTGACAGAACTAATAAGTGCCTGACTGCAGAATACCCTTTATTCAAATTCCTTTTAATAAACAAAATAGAACTGCTTAGAACTACTGGTGAAGCCTCACTGCTCTTCCCCTGTAAACTCTTGTTTCTCCTCCCTTCCTCACAAATCCCTTTTTTCTAAGAGCTCAACTCTTTATGACAGTAATTTAAAACTTGTAACCATTCAATTGGGTCTCCTGAATCTCCTGCAGTTCTCCCACCTTTCAGAGGGAAACAATGTGCCATTACTTTTGCACGGCCCTCAGTGTGCAGTTTTGGAGGACACCTCACAGAAATGAATCTTCCCTTTGCACATCTATTGAAGAGGCCTCCTGTCAAGCCAATACTCTAATGGGGACTGGGTGTTAATCCCCCATTTCACCAACAGTTTGTCTCTTTAACAGGGCAGTCCCTATTGTTTTCCTTTGTTTGCTTTGTTATAAATGCTTCAACCCTCCTTATCTCAAGCTCTCAGGAGTGGCTGCCAGGTGGTTGGACAGAATCACTAATGTACAGCCTCAGATGAGTCAAAAATAAATACTACAGATTGGAGCAATCACTTCTCCACCCCTTCACCAGTCAGTAGCAGCAATCACTGGTGCGTGCCCATCAGTGTTCCACTACAAACCACATTTCCAGCAGTCCCTAAAGTTGCATCAGTAAAGCACAGTTCAGCTGCTTTGTTGATCAAAGTGCATCAGAGTTCCTGTTTCTCTCCACTGCCCCCAGCGGAGTCGGATGCAACGGGAACTTTACTACTTCCAGCAAAAACAGTTTCAAAAGCAGCTTCCTGCTCCTCCAAAGTCACAGCAGCAGTGGCTCCTCCACCAGGTGTGCTGGGAAAGGCTGGACGTTGCTCAGGAATCTTTTCCAGGTCCACTGTTCTCCTACCTCTTCTTTTGCCCAGGATTTTGATGTAATTAGCTGGCACAAGTCCTGTTGTTTGGCCATCATAACTGGCCAGGAGCCAACCACGGATTTTGGGTTGTTGTTCTGAAGGAGAAAATGCAAAAGCACCAAGTTGCAAAACAGTTCAATGACACTGAACAAAACTACTCAGAAAGTTTTATTCCAATGCAAATAATAACTTAGTGGGGGGGAAAAGAAAATCAGTATTTGGTCAAATAAGGTGGTTTTGGTCTTTTAGTTTTAATTTTCAGACTCTAACACTATAACTTCATTATGATTAGAAAATAAACAGAAATAAATAGAAAAATACTTTAGAAAAACTAAAAATTAAAAGTTTACCTTTGGGTGCTAATTTTAGCATGTCACCAGCACGGAAAGAAATTTCTTCTTCTGAGAGAGCATTGAAATCATATTCTGCTCTTCCAACTACGTGGTCATCTTCTCCACTAGCCCAGTTACTGGACACTGTTTGCAAACATACATTAAAAGTTTATCTGCTTTGAATTACAAAGTCTGGCGTGTCTTTTTAAAACAAAATGAAGAAAAACACTTTAATTTCCTTGCTAAAACTTTTCTGGCAGAGAACTGACAGGAGTAACAAGCAAAGCACGACTTGTTGAGTTAATCCAAGCGATACACCCCAAACTGCTACATCTACTAGGAAGGAACCATGAGTTTGGAATCACACACAGCTTAAATACAATGTTAACTCAACAACAGGCTGTCACTTGTATCACATGCCTAAAATTCAGCATTGTGTCCCAGTATCTACTAACTGCTATTACTGTTGTGTAGATTAATCACCACACAGACAACAGTGAAAGGAACAAGGAACTCTCGTGCTGCAGATCATCTTTACCTGTTTCTTCATCACTGTATGTAGAAAGCAGCTTCCAAATCAGGTAGGGCCCTCCCATTATAACAGCAAAGAACAGGAAAATGGGCCAGGACTTTGCAGAGTTTCCCATCTTGTCTTCAAGGCCGACACGAGCCACTTTGCCCTCACTCTCAGCCCACAAATCCTCGTTCTCAGAGCTGTTCCTCAGCCCCAGCAGCCGCTGCAGCCGTTGGTAGAGGTACCTTATAGTTCTCACCAAAGCAAAAGCCGAAAACACCTTGGTGAAGTGGATTTTGAGGCGGGAGAAGTGGTTGGCCACGTCCAGCACAGCCCTGAAGCTGTTGTAGACAGCTGAGAAGGTGGCATCCATCATCATGCTGACCGAGGCAAAGGCATGCACGATGCTCTCGATGGACTGGAAAGCCCCCCTGCTGCTCTCCTCAGCCTGCTGCACAAACCTGCTGGGGGGAAGGCCATCGGCACAGAACCGGTTATACCCCAGCCCACCGTATCCGTAGCTGTAAGGGCTGTAGCTTCCATAGAAAGAGGTCCCATATGAACCATAGGCTGGAGAGAAAGAACCACTGTAAGCTGGCCTGAAGGTGCTCAGACTGCTGCTTCCCGTTTGCTGGGATGGTCTTGGCAAAATGGGTGGAGGTATCCGTGCCACGGCGGGTTGTCCGGGTCTGGTCAGCATGTTGTCACCCAAGTCAGCAGACCTAAAAAAAATTCAAACAAGGAAGATCAGTACCCAAAGTTTAGATTTTTCATTTCCTCAGGGGCCTTGGCTAACTCCACAAATGTCACAGTGAGTTTCAGCAGTGCTGGGATAGGGAAGCTGGAAGCCAAACACTCAGAGTGTTGTACAACGTTTGTTGGAAGTTAAAAATCCAGTCAGGAAATACAGGTCTTTCAGGGGAACAAGAACCATAATGAGATACTCAGTGTAAACAAGAAACTGGGATGTACACATTGAAAAACTTGGTCTATTTATTAATTTATACATGCATGAAATGCACCTTCTAGATCCACCAAACCTGCTGCTGTAACACCCAGGTCATTCTTCTGCACACCAAAGCCTCTCGTGGGCCCCACCAAAAATATTTATGAACTTCCCAAAAAAAAAAAAAAGCTTTATTTCCAACACTGCAATAAGCCAATGATACAGCGGGAAGAAGTTTGAGAGCTCCTTTGAATCCACCCTTAAAGGGTGCTGTGACCTAATTGAGAATCCAAGTAATTATGCAACAACCTGTGCAAGGCCTTTGGGCCTCCCAGTTTCCCCCTCTACCCAAAATACCTCATCACCTTTGTGCAGATTATAAAGGGATTGAATCTACTACTGATTGTTGATATTGAATTTACTGCTGTTGGCAGAAAAAGGTCTTATGAGTCCATCACTTGTATTTAATTTAGTAACCTTTTTTTCCTTTGTATGCTCAGAAGTTCAAGTTATTTTATCATAATAAGACTCTGCAAGTACTTGACCGGCACTTGAATTCTCTCAAGCAGCTTTTTGTTCTACTTCTGGACACAAAAAAAATCGTATATTATCACCCTAAAAGTCAAACATTTTGGTTATTTCCCCATGTTTACTGTCTCGTCCCATGACTTCCCACTTCTGTAGTCCATTAAATTCACAGGGGAAAAAAAAAAGGCAGAAGGAAAAAATGCCAAGTTGGAATTGCTATTTACCCGTTAAAAACGGGAGCAAAACTAAGTCATTATCACAGCAAAGAGAGATACTGTAACTCAGCAAGTCACCCTACAGTTCCCAGCTCAATAGTCAGCTTGGGACACCTCACTTTAAAGGTGCCTGAAGCCATTAACACGGGGTACATAAACCCAGCAAGAAAAATTAACATTTAATTGCTCGCTCAGCAAACGGAGAGCGCAGCGAAGTGTCTGTGAAATGTTCAGCGCCGGGCCAACCTTTTGCCCAGTTTCAGCTCTAATTGCAAAAGAAAAACAAATCGGATCTTCAGCCACCAGGCGAGCTTTCCTCGCCTCCTGATCAAAAAGGAGCTCACAGACACTTTGCGTTCATCCTTCTCCACGAGCAGGCGGGATTTCCCGGGAGAGCTCCCACACCCCCCGGACTGTCACATACACGGATCTTTTCCAAGCCCTGCGGTGACACTCAGCTCCCGGGGCTGACACAGCCACACAACCCCCGGGAACGGACACCCCGAACACTCCTGCCCACATCTACGACTTCATCTTCCCCACAGGGGACCGTCCTCGGAGTCCCTCACGGAGCGCGACTCCCCGGGCCGCCCCGCCCCGACCGACCCGGCCGGGCCCGACCTTTGAGCCCGCCCCAGGCCGCGGGCCCGGCCGCCCCGAGCGGCGAACACCCGTCCCCCGGTGGGATCCCCGGCAGGGACGCCCGCCACTCAACTTGAAGCGGCCGGTGCCCCCAGCGCGGGACTCCAGGCTTGGGCGCGGCGTCCCCCCATCGCGCCCGCTCGGCTCCTTGCGCGCGCCGTCGGCATCGCTTCGGCTCGCTTCGGGGCGCGCTCGGCTCCGCTTCGGCGTTCGGGCGCGCTCGCTCCGCTTCTCGCGCTCAGCTCCGCGGGCCCCCCGGCCCTATCGGTGGTAGGCCGCACCGCCGCATCAGGTGGGAGCGCCGAGCTGTTGTTCTAGCGGCCTGCGGGTGCTGCTACGCCGCGCCGGCCGAGCGATGCGCTCTGCAGAGCAGCTGAGCGAGCCTGTGCCGGGCCGCGGAGCGAGCGGTGAGCGAAGGGAGCGGGACCGGGAATGGGATGGGGATGGGGATGGGAACGGGAACGGGAATGGGAACGGCGTCTCCGGCCTGCGAGGGGGTCGACCATATGCTGAACGGGCCCCGTTTGTCCTTATCCCTCCGTCTCAGCCCGTGCGCGGCGCCTCGGTGTGGGGGGGTAATGGGGTCCCCTCAGCCCTGCGGGGTCGGGGGTCCCGACCTCCCCCAAATCCTGAGGTTTCGGGCTGGAATAGGGGTACTGAGCTGCCTTCCCTCAGATATGCTCTGAAAGTGCTGAGCTCCCTCTCCCAGCCTTGAGATGTTGGGCCAGACTGGGGGTGCTGAACCTCCCCAAAGATTCCACCTCTTTCCCCCTCCTCCTTGCCCCAAAACATCCCCAATATCACCACATTTGTCCTGATGTGTCAAACAATGCCAATATTTAACTCTCATAAAGGTGAACTGGCAGTTTTACCTAAAAGCCTGCTTGTTCGTGTTTGCTGTTTCTTGCTGAAAGGGGATTTGAAGTTTTCCAGGTAGCCCTTGGATTTTTACAGCTTTCCATAAAAAATCCAAATCCAGGACAAAAAAAAAATCGTCGAATTAATAACTCTTCCCATACTGTAGAGGTTTTTCCACGGCTCCAGTATTTCTGTGCCAGGTACTTCTGAGCAGGATTGGATATTAAATTTCAAAGAGACACTGGAGGAAGGATCTGTTAAGGTTTCCCAAGAGTCAAACCACACCAGGTCAGAGGGATCCCCCAAACCCAGAAATAATTGGAGACAGGAGCACTTGGCAGAGGAATGTGCCCTGCACACACAGATTTTCCTGTGGCACCTGTTTATTCCTGCTTTGGGTGACAATGGACTAATTGAACCTGTGGTTATTCCTATGTGCTCCTGAAGTTCCCTAGTGAGCAGCTCACTGGGAATCTCTCATTTTCCATATTTTTCAAAAAAATGCTGAGAGTTCTATCCCATTATTACATTTTGGCCTGTTCTAAAGGGCGGAAAAAATGACAGGAAACCAAAGTAGCCATAACATTTTAGGGGGGAAAAAAAGCATTATGAGATTTCTCACAAAAACATGAGTCCCATGTTGGGATGGGAAATAAGAAATCTTAAAAAATTGCAGGGGCTAATGGATAGAAAAGGCTTCCTTTGCCTTTAGGGCTTTCGTGGCAAAAGGGGCTGGCATACGTTGTTTGAGGCTTTTTTTTTCCCCCCTGTGATTTTAACACACTGATTCTTTAGGCTCTGTGATTTTTGGGAGGAATTTCCATTTTAAATTGGGCTTAAGATGTCTTAGATCCACCCTCTTTCATTCAGTAAAGATTAACATGTCATGTAATGCACTTTATCCAACATAAAACTGGGCAGAAGCTCAGCATTCCCTTGTCAGAACTCTTGAATTCAGGTTTTTCTAGGAAAAACCTTGGAAGTACAGAAGCTTTTCCCCTGGTCAGTGGTGGTTTGGGGTTGGTCTTCCACTTCTCTTATGCCTGTGATTTAAAACAAACACGTATCCTAAACTTTCTTTAGAGGACCAAAAAAAATCCAGTTATTTTAAATCCAGTTAAATTGCTGAACTGTGTTTATTCTAAGCTTTATTTTTTTCCTTTTCTTTTTGGAATTTTAGGATTCCCCAGCATGTCTTCACTAACAGAGAAGGACAGACCAGTTGTTCAGCTCTTGCTCAACACTGGCACTTGCCCACGATGCATTTTGAGGTTCTGCTGTGTGGGATCACAGACCCTTTACAGACATCCAGACAAGGTTTGGCCTTTGTATTCCTGGTTAGAATGTGGGAGCACATGGATGCAGTGTCCTTTCCACTACCCTGGAGGAACCAGCTATGCTCCAAGCAGTTTTGCCTCATTCTTCCTTCAGCAGAATTGGTAGTGGGATGCACCTGAAGAATTGCAGGGCACAGGTTAAGGATAAAGCTTCCTTTTTCACTCAGTCAAACACAGTGTCATCACACATCCTTTTTAGCTGACCTTAGTGCTGAAATTCAGTGTTGTTTTAATTTTTCCTGGCTGTGCATAGTCTTTCTTGCCTTCTTTCTTATGCTTGGAACTCCTCGACTCGGTTTTGGCTCTTTGCTTTTTCTCTGTGTTGGTTCTTTGAGACCTGTCTCAAACATCTCCATTTGCTTGCTCTAATCCCTTCTCTTCATGCTGGTGTCTGTCTTGAACTTTGTTCAAGTTAAGACTCCCCAGAATTCATTTCTAACATTTTTCTTCCCTATCCTTGTCCATTTTCTGTCAGTTATTTGAGGAGTGTTCACTCTTTGTGCCATTTTTTTATTCTTTTGCATCTCTACCTGACTTTCCTGTGAGTTGCAACAACGCAGGAACTGCTGACTTTCTTACTGAAGACATTTTAATAAATCCTTCTTTCTGAACTGTGTCTTTATCTCTTATCCTTCCAGAAATTCAGAGACAAGCAGGTTCTTCTCCCTCCTCACCAGCACATCCTCTTAAGTTTTGAGTTTTTAGGTTCTTACTCTGTGTATTTAATTTCACCCCCAACCTGTATCTGCTCTTATTTTCCTTTTATGCCATACTAACCAGCTCTCTTCCTGGGCTAATGGAGTTAGAGAAATTAAATTCTAATCTAATCTAAATGACAAGAAGGCACTAAATGTCTATTTTCATGGAATAGCAATGAGGCAAAAATAAATGTGTTTCTGCAAGACAGGTCTGGAAAATGTTTTCGCTCTTGGATGGTAAATGAGTCTGTTGAGCAACAGTTTCTCTGGAAATTTCTGTTTTTAGAAAAATGCAGCTTGGAGCTTTTTAATTGTGTCTTCAAGATGTCCTTGGGAATAAATTCCAAGTTGTTAATTACATAAACTAAGGCTCAGCTGGGATGCTTAGTACTGCTTTATGGAATTGTGTTTGTTCAAGAGCTAAAAACAACAGAATGATTCCCGTGTTTGTGTTAGGATTTGATGAAGGATTTACAAGACTTCCTGAAAAAGAATCAAGAAAAAGAAGGCCCAGTTTGTTTGGAGGTGGTTGACCCACCTTGTAAGAGGATCAGACTTGGAGACACCGAAGAAGGTCCCGAGGATCTGAAGCACAACGGAGCCCTCCCGCAGATCCCTTCGGAGAACGACGGGAATGCTGCAGTGGAGAGCTCTGCTGGGAAGGTTTGCAACGTGTGTTTGGGAATCCTTCAGGAGTTCTGCGAGGCTGACTTTGTTAAAAGGGTAAATCCCCCCTCTTAGTCTTTTGGGGTCCTTTTTCTGGAGCTTGTCTATGTCGGGGCCCACAGTGTAGAGCTGATGGTTAAAACCCCTTGCAATTTTGGGGTGGGGTTTTTTTTTTTTTGAAAGGTATATTTTCTCTTTCTTTTGAAAGAAAAAAAAAAAACCAAAAGACAAACCAAAACATTTACCTGTTTTGAGTATTTGAAGTGTAGGTGGCACCATCCCACTCCATCCTGCTCCTGGGCAGTGTTTGCACACCTGTAACATCTGTGTTGGCACCAGATTTTGCCCAGGCTTTGTCATAGTGTAACCTCTTTAAAAAAAACAGCAGTGCAGGTGCAATGGAATGACTGCAGGGAGCACACTTCCCTAAGAAAAGGATTAACTCATTCATGGTTACATGAATTTAGGAGATAAACCTGAGGTCCAGAGGAAAACCTCAGTGTGAATAGTGACCTCTCTTCACTTTTTTTATGTGACAGGAAAACGAGGAGTCATCAGCTGCTGTTCTCTTAACTCCATGTTTTTAATTCAGCATGAACCTGTCTTTATGAAGGAATAATATTTAGAGAGCCACAGAGGAAGAAGATGTTTTGGTGATACAGCAGACTGTGGGTATAATAGAGGAAATGAGAGTTAGGAGAAACATCACCTCTGAGCACTCAGACTGCTCATGTGACAAACTGAAATATCAGCTGGAAAATTCCCACCTGCATTTGAGATGTTTAACAGGGTTTTAATAGGAAAGAGTTTGGTTTAATAGCATGAATGTATCTAAAAATGGGACTAAACAGAAAGCAGAGTATATGGTTTCTGTTGTTGCAGTGCATTGTGTTTCTTTTTTGTTGCCATGGGCAGAATATGTATCTTTGTACAGAAACACTTGTTTCTGAGATACTCTCTTCAGTAGCAAGGGAAGATCTGGCAGAACTTGTTAAGGCACTGCAAAACCTAATTATTTTATATGTAAAGATACTGATTTCACCTTGAAAGCTCAGAATTCCTCTCTAACATTCCCCAGAATCACTGACATTTTGGATGACTTCTCCATGTGTGTTGGCATCTTTGCCATCAGTTCTCACTGGCCCACTTTAAAATATTAGATGTGTCTTTGGAATCCTACTTCAAACAGAACTTTTCACAAGGAATTAATGCTGTGGATACCTGTTTGTTCCTGTCTTGTCCCAGGATCTTAGACATTTTTATTGTCCTAGAATTAATTTATCACTGCCATGAAGGAAGATGCTCAGAGTTGGCTATTCTTGTCTTTGGTCACTGTGGTGTAGATTTTTTGGACACAGATTTCAATATACAATTGGTCTTGGCTTTAAAATAGTGAATTTGGTTATTTCATAGCCATAAGGGTACAGTTTATTAGTAACTTTTTTCTTAACAGAACAAAGAAGCTTATGTTTCACTGAGTGATTAGTGATTACTCTGTTTTGGATGTTCAGCATCTCTCTGAATGTGTGTTAACATGAATTAACAATAATTGAATAAAGAATATCAACTCAGTGCCATTGCTATGGTTTAATATTAAACTCCTTCTCTTCCAGGTGTGCCAAAAAGTTAATTCTGCTGACTACCAGTTCACTAGTTTTGTATTTTCTGTGTCACTACCCCCCCAGCTCTCTGTTAGGGAGGTAAGTAACTTAAATAACTTCAACACATATTAAACAAAGTAACTGTGGAATGTACAAGCTGGAGGTGGTTTGATTTTTAATTGTTACTGCTTAAAAAAAAAAACCAAAACCACATGCTGGAAGTGAAATCTGCTCTCCCCTTCCTTGTGGGTGAGTATTATTTTAATTAACAAAGGGTCTGAGTCACTTTGGTTTCCAGTTAGCCCAGGAGTTATTTTACAGCTGAAATCCTGAAAGGAGTTTGTTTAAACCCTCAGTGTATTGTTCCCTTTGGATGCCAGCCCTGTGGATCTTCCAGAGGTGGAACTGCACAGCTGGTGCCTTTCCAGAAATAAATGGTAATTGGTAGTGCAGAATACAACCAGAGGAATTTCAGGATGAACTTTTAAGTGTTCAGCATTTTAAATGATGGGAAAATAAACATTTTAATACTCACCCAGCTTGGGCATTGTTGGAAGTCTAGATCTGTAAATCTGAAGCTGTGAAACTACTGATTTTTATGGCAATTTTAATCAAACTCAAATTGCTTACATTTCATTCATTTAATTACAGTGGATAGTAATAATATGAAAGTGTATACCCTGGTAATTTTTTTTAATTGAGGGATAATATTAAGCATAATATAACTTGATCAATAAAGCCCCAATTTTTGCATAGTTGTCAGTTGTTTTACAATGTTCCCCTGCTTTCTGACATGAAAAAGTGCAAAAATAGTGTTCTAAAAGGCAACGTGTAAATTTTTATGATAGATGCTGTGGCAAGATGTGATAGAAACTTCAGTGGCAGAAAGAAATGTAGATTGTCTTGGATTTATATATAAACTTGTGGTGAGATCTCTTCTGATCCCACACAGTTTGATTGTTAAATAATTACTACACTTTTAGTGGTGATTTGTGCTGTGAGTTCTGGCATTTTGGGCGAATGCCAGCGTGATAGCAATCATATATTCTGCTCCTAAGTCTTCTTGAACATAAGATTCTCTACTTCTCATCTTAAATTGAGCATAATTGGTGTGTTTGCTTCATCTGCCACCGCCTCTGGTAAAATAAGACCAGAGCAAATCGCTTTGTGCTTTCTGGCTGGATGAACTGCCCTTATTGCCATTTGATCTTGTGCTCGTCCAGTATGTCCAAAAAAGCACTTTCAGGCAAGGTGAGTGTGTGAATGCACGTGTGTGTGCCTGGGGTGCTCTGGCTTGCTCCAGCTTTCTGCCTGGGGGAAGCTGAGATGTCCAAAAGGCACCTGGTGTTTGCCGGGGAGCCTCGGTAGAGGGTGGTGTTGCACTGCAGTTCAGGTGAGGGACGTTCTCACACTGTCCTTGTGCTCAAGCAAACCAACAGTCCTACGGTGCCTGGGACAGCCAAGGGAATCAAAGTTGTGCCGTGGGGCCAGAAATGAAGAGATGGAGTGAAATGAGTGAGTAGGAAGCTCCCAAACCACATCTGTTCTCTTTGGAAGCAGTTTGGGTTCGGCCGGGAGAAGGTTTGCATTAGGAAGCTCCTGCTGTCCATTCCATTCCATCCCTTCAATCTTGCCAAGTGCTAAATCAGCTTTTTGTGTGCTCCAACTGCAGGGGTGGAAGTGGGTGATGGTGGAGGAAGAACTTTAAAAATCATGGGGGTTTGTTTACCACCTGTTTATCACTTAAAAAAAAAAAGTGGTAAAAAACTAATTGGTAAAAACAGTCCCTGTTTTACAGTTACAGAAAAGCAGCAATATGATATGTCCAAATGTCTGAAAATATCAAAATCTAGTATCAAAATATCTCTAAATACTCCCTGTTGAAAAGAAGTTGTATGTTAAATCCTGCTTTTAATTCTTGGAACTGCTCTGTGCAAGAACATGTGGAATCTTTCCTAAAAGGACACCCAAAGGCAACCTTCCTCCCACTGCCCTTTGTGACACAGAGATTTTCTCCAACGTATTTTTAACCAAAAAAAAATCAGAAACTGCCTTTTAATGTTACCTCCAGCTCATTTAATGATGAGAGTTGTCATCCTGCCAAGGATAAAAATGTACTGGAGGAGCTGAAAAAGAGCGGGACATAAAATTTCCATTTGCACAGTGTTTGTATCTGGGATGCACAGGAGCCTCTTTCCACAAGCAGGATATTTGCTTGGAATAAATCACAAATACAGGAGTCCCAAGTTTATGTCAGACAGCTCCATTAGAATATGAAGTGAGTGGTGCCCTTCAGAAGGGTGACTGAGCTGTGTGTGTTGCCTCAGTCCTGATCCATCATCCCGGTGCTCGCTCCAAGGACACGGATGCAAATAACATCTGCAGCCATCGCTCCCTGTAGGACTGGCTGTACCTCATCCTGGAATTCCCCATCTCCGAGCTCTTTTCTAATCGAGTGGAACAATGCTGGGGCTGGGATTGCAACTGTTGCCACCGTGATCCCTCAGCCAGCAGCACAATAATATCCTGCAGCTCGGAATCAACACAGTGCCCGAGCTCCTGGATTTCAGGGATGGGTTTGCTGCTCGGCATTGCCCTGCAGGCTTGAGCTCTGTAATGAGCATTTGGCATTTTCAAACCACTCCACAAACATGAAGTAATTAGGAAGTGGAGGGATCTGATCCCCTGCTTCTCGTGCAGCTGGGACAAAGTAGAGAGAGGGGTTTTGGAATTTGGGATCTTTTGGCCCCTGTGCTCTCAGTACCCTCATCTGTTGTGTCCTCTTAATTGAAGGGGAAAAACTAATTTCTTTAATTCTCTTTCAACTCGGAAGTCAAGAGAGAGGAGGTGAAATTTTAGCAGAGCTGCTCCCAGGCAGAAGTTTTGTCTGTGTTATAGTTGTACCCCTGGAAAAAAAATGAAAAGGAGTGGGATGAGCCCCCTTACTGAGCACCAAACCTGCTCTAAAGGAAGGTGTGGCCGAGCTTTTGAAGCTGCCGATTTCTAGGCCCCGCTCTGCGGTTGTCAAATTCTCTGGCTCAGAGTTACGTTCAAGGAATGTCAAGTGGAAGCTATTTTTGTTTATGGTTTTATCTGGGTTATTATGCAAACAAGATGACAGTATGCTCGGGGTGAATCAGCCTTACTCACCCCGTCTGCAGCTGTGGGATAGTGAATCACTGGATTGGAGCAAACACAGTTCCATCAGCACAACTGCATTTGTGGGTTTGTGTATCGTGGATCTAACAGAGTTCATGTCCTCTCTCTGCCAGCCCTTTTTTTTTAGGGTCCCTTTACCCTTTTAGATGTACCAAAGGAAGGATAAGAGACTTTTGGGTTTTTTTTTTTTGCTTGAGTTCCTCTATCAGCATGTAAAAGAGATCTATGCTGTGGTTCCTTCTGTTGTTGCTTCATCGTAGGAAGTTTTGAGGGGATTTTTTTCTCTTTTTATTAATTGCTTCTTATTCATTATTAGCGAACTCGAGTGTTTGTACTAAAAGCTCCCTCTGATTTCTGGAATTATTCCTTCAGTCCCATATTCAGCCTGTCTCCTAAGCTAAGTGGTGTGCTTTAAATAAGGGAGCAACTCTCAGACTTTGTAATTACTGTAAGACCAATTATGCCTTTTATTTTGTGTTTTTTATAATGGATGATAACTGAATTTGGGGGTTTATTAATTTCTATGTTAACCAGTTTTCATGTACAATTCATTTAGACAATTGCTTTTGCATTTTCTCTGTATGGTAAATAACTAATTACTTAAGCTAATTATGGTAAAAAACTAATTACTTAAGTCTTTTTCTAGAAATGAATTTTTATATTCAGATTTAGATATAAATACATTTAGATTTCTATCTATATATAGATATATATCTATATAAATATTTAATTATGTATTATTATATTTTATTGTATATATTTTCTTATGTCTCTATAGTGTATGATTTATTAATTATATAGATGTAAAATTCTATCTATATATTAATACAGATATAAATAGATACAAATGTTTTCTAGATATAATGTTTTTCTACATATAAAGCAAGTTCCAAAGTGAAGCCTGATCTTTGTTTTTTTTAAAGCCAGGTAGGATTTGAGGTGAAGAGCAAAGTGATGTCTTACAGATAAAACAAACACCAGTTCCATCTTTCCACTTCTGAAGCAAAAGCTACATTAAATTCTTAATACTTCCCTTTTGTCCCGAGTTTTTAAAACAGTTTTCCTCCTCAAACTGTTGGGAGTTTTGAGCCTTAATTTCACTTGCTTTTATTTCTTTTCTCTCTTCTCCCTGGGCGTGGCTGTGACTCCAGAAAGCTGCTTGGCTGGGGGTGAAGCAGGAGATGAGGTGAGTGGTGGCTTTTGGAGCTCCCATCCCACTTCTTCCAGATCTAGGAAAAAGAGAGCCACTCCTACTGTTTTCCAGTGCAGTAGAAATTAAAAACTCCTTAATGCAGAAAATGCTAACCTAGAAATTAATGTTGTAGTTTCGAGGTCAGGACAGTTGCTTTCACATCAAGGTGCTTCTGCTCACCCTTGTGGAATATTAGACTCACTTCCTACGTCCTTGGCCAAGATTTTAATTTACTTTGTACCTTCAAAATTAATCATAAGGAAATTCAGAATTGGGAGGTGCTGTCATTTTATTCATTTTTTAAAATTATTAATTCATTTTTCATCGTCCTTCCTTTTGCTGTCTGTCAAGAACTCTTTCTATAGACACCATTTCTCTGTACAAATAACGAGCTGTCAAGAAGTTGATTTTATAGTCCTGAAGTGAATTTTATAGTCCCAATTTACCTGGTGCTTACAAAGAATAAGATGGCAGCTGTTTTTAATGTGGTTTTTATATTTTTATGCGGTTTGACCTTAATTGGTGTTTCTGATCTCTTTTGCTCTGTAAGTTCCCAAACAAGTGGTTTGAAACACATCTCTCTTTCTCATCTCTGGATGAGAAAGACTTTTGCAACTACCAGGAAGCTCTGGCATCAGTTTCCTCCTTTTCCACAGGAAAAAAAAAAAAAAAGAATGTTTTACTTGGCACTAGTTATTTAAGTTCCTCTTGAAATGTTCTATGTCATGTATCTACCTTTGACAGATCCCTGTGCAAGTTATTATTTCTTTGTGATTCAGGAATCTGGGCCTTTCCTTGGAAAAGGATGACATTGTTCAGCTGAAGGAAGCTTATAAGTGGATTATCCACCCCCAGCTGGCAGAAGAGTTGGGTGTTCCTGCTGATGGAAAGGTTTTGTATAAATAAGAAAACACTTTTTTCTCTGTTTTGGTTTTTTCATGTATGTGTGTATATATATATATATTTAAACACTTACACATACGAGGAAAATGAAAATATATCCCTTTTCCTTATTAACAGAAAATAAAGTTGCATTGCTCTTATAATCACTGTAGGGAGAAGAAGGGGGGAAAGTTCTTTTAATCAGAGATCTCCAAGTCCATCCTAAGGGAATACCTGCAATACCCCTAAGCAGGCAGTAGAAATATTTTTCCAAACTGTTTTCAGCTTGCAGATTCTGACTTATATTCTTAAAATATTTCTGAAATGCATTGGCTGAGCATGACACTGAGATCTGCCAGACAAATTCAGAAGCACCAGCATCCTGAATGTTAAAATTTCTGCAGACTGTGGCTAAAATCCCTGCTGGGGACAAGGCAGTCTGCAGGTTTTCCTTGTCACCAGCCAAAGGGCTGACCCCAGGACTGGACTCTCAGTATTCTTAGTCTTTATGTTGATTTGTCTGCTTGCATAATAATTACAGATTGTCTTTTCCCAGGAGTGCTAATTGAAAGCATCCCTTTTGTCTTAGTGAATCAGAAATCACTCTGAAGATGATCCAAGAAAAAATAAACTTCTTACCTACCAAGTTGGCAAAAGCTCTCCAACACTTGAGCCCTGAGCCACTGCAGACATCCCTGTGCCATAAAAGTTGCTTTTCCAGTGCTCTTTATCTACAAGGCACTTGAATATTAGCCAATCTTTTCAATAGCCCTCTTGAGGTGTTCTGGTGTCTGAATAACAGAAGTAATGAGTGTTGTTTGCCCAAGGCCAAGGAGGGAATTGGGGGTAGAATTGAGATTACACTGGAGTTCCTGGGCTAGCTGTCAATCCGTGAGGACACAGCTGCCTTTCCTTGCCCCAAGGCCATCCAGTCATTGCAAAGGAAGCCCCTGACAAAATTTTACCGTGGTGACCTCAGGGTTTTTATCTTTATTCCACACTCTCCCAGAAGGCTGCTGGAGTTTAGTGACCGTAATAGGCTTGGAGCACAGGCTGCCCCTGACTCAGCCCCCCGGTGTGGGGTGTGTGGGTCACTCCTGGCTCTGAAGTGCTCTCAGACAATCTTTGGTGACTTCAGAAATGCAAATGCTGCTGTGGCAAACGTTTGAAAGTCTTTAGATGGAGAATAAATGGGTCATTATCTCTTTTGTCTCTCTCTCTTTACTGTTTTCCTTTTTTTTTTTTTTTTGCTTGAGAATATCCTCCCTGTTTGTTAAAAAAACCCCCACTATTACCGCCTTCTAGTTCTTTATTTTCTTTTTTTTTTTTAATTTAGAGTTTGTTTGAAGTCAGCGTGGTCTTTGCTCACCCAGAGACAGACGAGGAGTGCCGTTTCCTGTAAGTTTGATATAAATAACAAAAGATCTTTATCTAAATATTGTGCAACGCTGTTGGTTTGGATTTGTTGCAGATGCAGGTGTTTACAAACTAGGACCGGGCCTGCATCTAAACTTCCTCGTGCCCACAGAAAGTTGCAGAGCTTGAAGTTACATCATCTCTGGTTAATTCAGTGTTCTAATGCCAATAAACGAAGTCATCCAGGATTTTGATTGGAACTGGAAGGAGAACGTTGGGATAAGTTGTCCAGTTTCAGCCCTTTTCAAAGTCATTCCCTGGATCATTTAAAAAAATAAACTCAAACCATATGAGGGAATCTTTTGAGGTCATGCTTAGGTTTTCCTGCTCTTGTAGGAGACACAGATGGGAGGGAAGGCTTGGAAATGTGTTAATCCAATTTAGCTGGTTGATTAAAACAAACAGAAGTTTTGGCCTGGCCCTGTAGGGCATCTGCTGTACACAAAGAAGCAAAATATTTCTGTGAATTTAGCTGCCACTTCATCTGATTTCTCAAAATCTGTGGTATATTGTGGATAATTAGGTTCACTCTTCCTGTTTGCTGATGCTTCCTGGAAAACCTCAGTTTCACTCAGTTAACTTGCACCTGCTGCAGTTAAAATCTGAGCACAGAAAGAGGTTTGGCAGAGATGTCTCTGTTGAGCAGCGAATTAATTTCTTGAGCCCCGAGATTCCTTTTGCAGCCTTTATATATTTACCTGATTTTGGGGAGGGGGGTGAGGGAATGCTTGCTTGGAAATGGACCAGGCATTAGGAACAACGATTACCAGTGTTTGCTGAACATCTTTGCTTTCCAGCTTCTTCAACACTGGGCAAAAGAGGGAGAAAATTGTAGTCCCAAACCACAGTTCTAGATAACGGTACCTGCAATCCTGTAAAAACAAGTGTTTCTGGATCCTGCACCCTTTTGTTCTTATTTATTTAGTTTTACTCCATCAGTTCTTGTTCTCTGAAGTGCTCTTCCTTCCTCTGAAACCTCTCCACTCCTATTTCCAGCCCATCCTTCCATCCTTTTTGTGGCATTTCAGAAGGATGGATGTGGAGCACTTTAAGGTGCCAGTGTTAGCGCTGTAGAGGTGAGCGCTGTAAGGAAGCTCCATTCCACATTCCAATTACTCAGGTTTCTTCCCTGTGACCTGACAATATCCCTCTATTTGCCTTCTCTTTTTAGGATACTTAAACAGCAATTAAGGTTTGAGACACTTTCCTGAAGTAACAGCACATTAATTTAATTACAGAGTCATTTCTGAGGTGTCAAGGCATCCCGCAAATGTGAGAGGCTGGCTCTGGGCATGTTCTGAGGCAGTGCTTTGGTTTTGATGTAAATATGGGAAATTTGGCAATTGTCACAGTAGTAGTGACACTCTTGGGTTTTATGGAAGCAAAGCAGGACTTTGTCTCAACCTGGAGAACACTTTTGGATGGGATTTCCAACTATGGCGCCTGCAGTTCCTCATGTCTCAAGCTGTTCCCACACAGCTGTGTGAAGAGTAGGTGAGCTGAAATGACCCTTGGTTGCTCAAGGAACATTGAACTGGATCTTGCTGGTTCACATTTGGAGATTTATGTTTAAGGGTAAGGCCATCCTGAAATTTTGGAAGAGGGCATTTGTGTTGCACACCGGCCTGGGAAGCAAGAGCTGCTTCCTCAGAGTCCAAAAGAGTTACAGAGGTTTTGAGAAGCACCAGCAAGAAATGATAAATTGGGTTGTAGGTTAGAAAACATCTCTGGCTTCATACATAGAAATCCAGAAATCCTCCTGCCTGCATACATAGAAATCCATTAATAGGAACAGCAACTTCCTCTGCAGTACCAAGAAAAGTGTTTCCCTGACCTGGCTTTCGCTTTCGTGAAACAACCAAGAGTTTCCTTTTGAAGAGGCAAAACACCAATGGTGTTGAACACCTGGGGTTACTTTTTTGGTGGTACATTGAATTTTCCCATCCAGAAGGGGTGGTTTGAGTCTGGAGTTTGTAGTGGGCATTGTGGAAGAGCAGCAAGCACAGATTTCAAGATCGCAGCAAATCTTGCACAGAACGAAAATATTAATCGTGCCCTTCATCGAGAAAGATTGGAAAGGACTGAAAGCTAAACTTGTTGTGTGCTTTTCCACGTGTTTGTGTTGGTCAGGGCAGAAGAGACTTGCACCCTTTTGTCCAGGGATTCTGTCTGGATCAAGCAATGCACATCTTGCACTGTTTGTGGTTTAGGATTAAGTGAATTTTAAACTCTTGGAAGCGAGACCTTGGATATTGGTACAAAGCCCATTTCCATGCTGTGTCTGTGAGTCTGTCTGTTTATTTCTTTTTCTTAAGAGTAGCAGCTAATTTTTATTTCTGCATTTAGAGCCACAACCTGTCCAGACTGTTTCAAACCAGCAAAGAACAAACAGGTAAGATCTCACCTTTTCTTTATTTCTTTTTTGACATCCAGAATTTCACAGCAGTGGCTACAACAAAGAACTTACCTGGGTATTCAGTCAGTGCTTAACATCTGGTTTCCCTTCATCAGAAATCTCTCTAGTTTTCAGCTGTCTGAAAAATAAAGTTGGCTCCTTTATTCACTTCACGTTTCTCACCTTAAGAAAACTGAGAGCTTGGTGCTTTTCTTCAGGTTGTGCATCCTCCAGGCCATAATTTTAGGAATGGTCTCTGTAAATACCTCCCTTAAGATCTAGGAATTTGATTGTTATTGTTAAAAGTGGCATAAAAGATGATCCTCTAGCTCTCTGTGGGTGAAGCAGTTCAGATGAGGCACATTGTGAAGATGAGACTCTGCAGCCAAAAGGGAAATCAGTGATCACGCTGCAGTTCCCATGTCCTCTGATGTGACTGAAAGCCATGAAATGGGCAGGATGGTTTTATCCTTGTGCCTCTGGAGGAGGGGAGGGAAGAAAAGGGACCTTGCCACTTGTTGCAGGCCCTGAGCACACACACAATCATTGATGGAAAAGAGGACATGAGGGGTAAAAAAACAGCTGGAGAGAAGCCGATGTAAGTAGGACAGTTGATGTGATCAGAGGGAGAACAAGTGACTTCTATCAGAAGCCATTGCAAGGCCTTTTATTCTTCCTGGAGAAGAGTCTACCAACGTTTGGCAGAGGCAGGAACTGAGCCAGGAATTCTGCTGGCTCTACTCCACCTGAGCAATAAATGCAAGTCTTTTTTTTTAGAAGGGTTGTATTGTTATAACTCACTGCTTGCTGCATTGCTTCCCTTGAAAAAGGGGCAGATCCCACATGAGGAGCCAAACCAGCAGGGCCTGGCTGTTAAAACCACACAGGCAGCAAAATGTGGGGGAATCTAAAGCAAAAATGAAGAGCCATCAGAGGTTTGTCCTCACAAAGAAGCTGTGCTTGAAGCTTCAAGGGCTGTGTTAGTCAGAGAAGTGAGGTAAGAACTGGGTTCTGAGGGAAAATTTCTGTGCCATCTGCTCTAGATAGTTATTTAAACCTGCTGCCACTTTAAGGGTTTTCCAGTTCATCTGTTCTATGAGGAAGAGAAGTGCTATTGGCTCTGATTTATGCTTAGAAGGACAAAGAGCAGCTTTCCTGAAGGCACCCAGGCTGCTCTGCGTTAGAGCAGAGACTTGAATTGTCCCAAACAATGCCCCAGTATTTTCAACTTCTTTCCCCAAATCCCCAGTCCAGTTTGCAGAAAAGACACCATTAAACTGGAAATCCAGCAGCCAGGGGACTGGGAGGAGAGGCTCAGGAACCTGGACTTCTTCATGTGGAAGGTTCTTCTCTTGGCAAGGAGAAAGCTTTTGGGAGGACCCAAATCAACTTTTGAACTTCAGCCCCAGATGCCTCCTCAACAGGCTTATTTGCAGAACTAGCTGCCTGCTGTCACTGAGATAAAAGCTGGGGCTTAACTCTTGAAAAAGAAGGTGATTTAGGTTTCTGGTCATGGATTTAGGATTCTGGTTTTAAACCAGTTTGCAAATTTGGATCTGGGCTCCCAAATGAAAAAGCTCAACACTGTGTATATTTTAGTGCTTTTTTTTCTCCCTTAGGCATATCCTTTCTCTGTTTTTCTTAGTTCTTGACTCATTTTTTTATTTCACTGTGCAGTCTGTTTTCACCAGAATGGCAGTTATAAAAGCCCTAGAGAAGATAAAAGAAGAGGATTTTCTCAAGTAAGTCTATACTGAAACTAGTTCTTAGTATTGTGCTTCTGTATAGAATTAGGATGAGGAGGAAAATATTCTGTGGGTAAGTAGTGGTAGGGTGTCTATAAAAGAACTTTTGGTTGTTTATATTCTGATGGTTTACTGGTTAAAATGTGTTTTCTGTTCTTCTTTTAATTAAGGATTATTTTGAACCTTAGAGTTTGTAAGATAAGCAAGACTTCTGCCCATATTTCCAAAATGTCAGGAGTTGAGTTTTAATTAAACACCAAGAGCTGTAATATGGTGAAAATCACACACAGTGAGAAGCCATCATGTTTTGGTATTACTAGTAATTTTTTTTGTAATTTTTTTTTTAATACAGGCATTTTCCATGTCCCCCAAGTTCACCAAAGAACCTGTGTGATGCTCTGGAAATTCAGTGCAATAACGGTGCAGTTTTTGTGGCTGGTAAGGTGATGAATTTATTTGCTGCTGTGTCATCTTGAACAGAACTTTCTAACACTGCCATGAGAACCAGAGATTCTTCTGTTTGTAAATTCCTGTAATTAAGTGTAAGAGGCAAGGAAACAAATCCAGCTCTATCCAAGAGTGGGTGGGTTTGAAAGGGGAAGGAAATGACAGATCCCCTCTTTATCACCTGCCTGCAGGAGCATCTGCCCTTCTCCCAGGCCTGTGTATAAACAACTTATTTAAACACATGCAAGCAGATTAAAAAAACCCCAACCTGTAATTTAAATCCAACACACTGTGTTTAAAAGGATGATAAAAATCCTGGCTACAGGAAAATGGAAAACGAAAAGAAATGCACAAGTGAGTGGCAGGTTGGTTAATGTTCTACACATACCCCTTTTTTTTTTTTTAATTACTGATTAGACAGATTTTGGGAATTCAAGATACCCAGTTCCTTTTAGCCTTTTCCAAACACACTGTTTTATTTTAGGTTGCTTTGTTGAATGGTTTTATCAGAATCCATCTGTATGAAGAACAAGAGGGTTTGCTTTCTGCATGTCATTTAATATTGGTCTTGTGATTTACAGTTTATATCTTGCTACAACAACAACAACAACAACAAAAAATCCAGGCAGGATTTTTTTTAATTTTCAAAGAAATAAATCCAAAATGGGATTTATTGAGCACAGAGCAGTTATTTTGCTATTATTAAATGAGACAGGATCTTAATTAGCAAGCACAGTTTCAGAGTTAGCGTTGCCCTCTTGACCTTCCCTTTGGTGTTCAGTGATCACTTCCCACCTCAACTTGGGTTTGTTTTTTTTTTGAGGATTCAGGAGCTGTCAAACCGAGAAACACCTTCTGTGTTTTTTTGTTTTTTTTTTAAACCTCCTCTTGTTCAGATCAAGAGTTAAAATTCTTATCTTGTTCTCCTTTTTCCATTTTATGGAAGGAGAATTTAGCAGTGAGAAGCTGCCTGTGAAGGGTGAGTCACCTCCTTTCCTTGCCCCAGTGAAAGAGTTACTCAGTTTCCCCATTTGTTTGCGTGGCTTTTTCTGCCAGAAGGAAACATCGTTCAAGATAGGAAAATATGATACAACCCCCCCAAAAAAACTCGAGGTGTCAGAGGCACAGTGTAAAGCACAGAGCTGCTCTGAGCTCCTTTGCAAGGTTTCACACGAACGAGGCCCTCGCTTTTGGGAATATTTTTCACTTCTTACCAAACCTGTCCATAAAAAAGGCTCCTGTTGGCCATCCAAGGCTTGTTCTTTGGTTGTAGCAGCCCTTGTGCCACGGAGGTGCCATGAGATCAGTCCAAGGATGCCAATCTCATTATCTTTCTGATGTTCCTCCTAATTTGTCATGGAGATTTTCTGCTCCTCACGTGGTTTTCCTTGGGAGCCAAAGCATTTTAGTTTGGATTTGTCTCCTTAAGCCTTCAGAAAGTGGCAGGACTTGGCTTGGAACCTGAACTACTCCATACAGGAGGGTTATCCCTGAAGGTGGGACTGCAGCAACAGGCTCTCCAAGCCCACCTTTAAGTGGCTGTCCTGGATACTGGAATTCTCCTGGATGAGGCCACAAGCATTCCGCAGTGCTGCTGGAATTCTCTTCCACAAAACGAGTTTGAGCCTGGAAAGTCATTTCCACAAAGCTCCAATGAAGGTTAAATGGGTTAAAAACTTTTGTCCCTTGATTTAGAGGGATTACAGCTAACTCAGCTCTTTTTTTACAGGAAGGTACAACAAATATTCCAGGAATTTACCTCAGACCCCCTGGATTATTGATGGGGAGAGGAAGCTGGAATCTTCAGTGGAAGAACTAATTTCAGAGCACCTCATGGCCGAATTCAAAGCAGACAGTAAGTATTTAGGAGATCTCTTACCAGACATATTTTTCATCACTGCTAGAAGATTTTTTAGAAGAGTTTTCTTAGTACCCACCCACTTAATCCAAGAGTGTGAGGGGAAAAAAGCTATTATTTCTTTATCCCTCTCCTATCCTTCCAAGTCAAAGCTTGTAAACTTTTTTTTAGCTGTGATCTGTGAGTAATTAGATCCTTTTATCCTGCTAAAGTAGCTCCTCAGTTCATCTGCTGATGCAAATACGTTGGTTTCATGTATAGCAGGGTTTTTGCCCCACCAACCTTCTGATGGGCTGGTGATTCATAAAATGACTTGTATCAAGGAGGTTTTTTGCCACCAGCATTTTGTAACATCTACCTGGCTTTCAAGCCCTTCGTGTCTCTTACCTTGATTCATTTCTTTTCTTCAGTGCACATAATGCTTATCCAGGGATTATCCAGATGAAATAATCACTGCCCGTTGCTTGTGGAATTAAAAACAACAGAAAGCCCAAGGAAAAATTGCATTAAATATCAGTTTGGAGAACACCCTCCTGCTTCCCTCTCCTCTCCTCCCAGTGGATGTGTTACTCTGGTTGGAGTATCTCATTCAGGCCAAGGAACTGGGGAGTGCTCATCAAAAAACTTGTGAATAAACAGTAATATCCCAGATTTGTCCCTGAAGTGTCTGTAAAGGCAACTCTTGGAAGCAGCTTTTGCAAACAAGTTTAGAAAGACATTATTTCACCTTTTAAGCTGCAGAGGATATTAAAAATGTAAAATAAAAATCTCGCCTGCCTTGTTTAAATCTGTTACAGGCTTTAATTTTTCTTCCTCTGGAAGAGAAGATGTGGATGTGAGGACACTAGGAAATGGTAAGGCTTGGAAAATCCCTTGTGAAACACAGAAACTAAGTGGTTGTGAGAGCTGTTTTAATGGATCTTGCTGAATGCTAAGGCAGGCTTTGAAATTTTATCTCAGAAACATTTTAGTGATATTTATATATTTATTCCCAAAGACCAAACGCCGTCTCAGTGGCCTTGGCTGCGTGGAAAGGCAGAGCTGGTTGGGAGTGTTTGATTTTATTCACTCCCTGCTTTGAAGCCATTTCTGTCAGACTCATTCCTGTCTTGTTTGCTGTTGGATCCTTCTAATTCCCTCACTGTCCCTGTGGAGTAGGGGGAGCCTTATTTTCTTTTTCAACTTGGGTCCTTTGGAAAGGTCAGCTGCTTTCCAATATGCTGGAGCTGCTGCAGCCAAAGGAGGAGGGCAAGAAAAAGTAAAAATGAGCAATTCCATGTTTCAGTTGCTGTCTGATTGCTGTGGCTCCTGGCATTGCTTGTGCTGGGGATTGTCCCTGGCCCCGAGCAGAGAGAGAACAACTCTGGCAACAGATGTTGAGCTGAGGGAGCAGGGATTTAACATCCTCTTGCACCTGGGCATTGCTGTAGGTGACAGAAAATAAGCTAATTAACTTTTTTCTTATTTTATTTTTTAATTAGCACAGACTTGTACCAGAAGTCTTCTGGGAAGTCATAATTTGCACTCGCTGCCGAAACTGGGCTTTAGTAGCCAAAAAAAAAAAAAGTCCCTCCTTTCTTCTTCCATCTGATGCCACATCCCTAAACCCACAAGTCCTGTCCCTGTTTGTCTTAACAGCAGCCAGGCTTCACACCTCCCAGCCCTCCTGTGTAAATTCCCGTGTTCATTTAGAACACTCATGTTTTTGTGTTTTATGGCTGTGCCTGATGCCAGGAAGGCCCTTTGCGATCGAGCTGGTGAATCCTCGCAGGATCCACTTCACCGCTGAGGAAATGAAGAGGCTGCAGCAGGTAAATCATTTGCACCTCACAGAGCCCGTGGAGCACGTGCTGCCTCTCCAACCCAGCAGCTCTAACTGGTTCCTTTTGAAAATATCACAGGCAATTAATAACTCTTCAGACAAAATCCAGGTTCGAGACCTGCAGCTCGTCACCAGGTCAGTATTTCCCGGCGCTGCCGAGGGGTTTCAGGGCGACACTTTGGGACTTGTACAAGTGGTCTTGTTCACAGCCTGGGATAATTAGGCTTGTGTTAAGTGAGTCATTAGTCTCTCTTGTGCAGAGAGGCAATTGGTCGTATGAAGGAAGGTGAGGAGGAGAAGACAAAGACCTACAGTGCCTTAATATGGACGGACAAAGCAATCCAGAGGGAAGACATCGCGCTCCTGGATGATATAAAGGTATCAGGAGCTCTTGTTGCTGATTTAAATAGTACCTGTTCTGGTGCCCCAGGGAAGAGTTAAATACTCTTAAATACTGTAATATCTCTTCCTCTGTGTTTGGTTTTTTTTTATCAGGGTTTGTCTTGTTGTGGGGACTTCCATACCACCTTTTTTTTCCTTCACCACAGTCATCCAAGCAGGACAGCTGCCCAACTGTTGGCCAGGCCAACAAACACTTGTGTAATGTTCACCTTCCAGGACACCAAATAATCAAAATTAGTGGATGGCAGAGGAGGAAACCTGGCACCTGCACCCCTTCCTTTACCTTACACATTGTTTTGTGTAAGCAGAAGTGGCAGAGCTTTTGTTCTGCTCTACAGCTGCTCTCCCGCGGCCACAACAATTCCAAGTTGGAGGTGCCTGTGGCAAAGAGTGGTAAGAGGCCTTAGGAAGGCTCAGCACACTCTGGAATAAGAACTTTCTCCAGATGTTGGGCTGATGGAGAAGTGGGTTCAGTTTTTGTTGTGCTGCACCATTTCCTACAGCTCTTCCCTGTGAACTCCAAGCAAGTGCTCACAGCTCAGGGAGACAACTGTTGGCTTTTCCTGGAGCTTCCCTCAATCCTGAAAAGTTGCCTTTCAAAGTGCTGCATCTCCTTTGGGAAGGGAGTGGGGAATGAACTTCTGAAAAGACTGTTCTGAGATCTAATCTCATTTCAGGGGCTTTTTTCCCTCACTTTTATTTCTAGGGGGTTGGCTGTAGTTTAGACAAAGCATTTTGTGGGTGGGATTTTTTTTTTTTCCTGATTTGCCCTGAGGCTCTCGGCGAGCTGCTAAATCCTGGAGTCATTCCAGCAAAGGGCTATGGAGATTTCAAGGTTATTCCTCTGTATTTGTGATTCCATTAGTTTGTGTTCGCGCGAGGCCTCGGAGCTGGCTGTCCTTTCTCCTTCGATAAACTTGGAAAACATGAGTCCTGTCTCAAGCTTACTCAAAAAGATGGGATTGGTTCACAACACTTGTGACTCTCCCACAGTCTGTTCAGTGTGTTACATTGCACTCTCTCTCGTGGCAGGAATTAAAGCTGGACCAGAAGACCCCTCTCCGTGTTCTGCACCGGCGGCCTCTGGCCGTGCGCTGCCGGATCATCCACACCATGAGCTCCGAGTACATCGACGAGCACCATTTCCGCCTGCACCTCAAGACCCAGGCAGGGACGTATCCTTGGCTGCCCTGGCACCAAACAGCTCCTGACTGGAGTCACTTGGCTGCCCTGGCACCAAACAGCTCCTGACTGGAGTCACTGGGATCACGGGAAGTTTCCTGCTCGGATCCCTGCTCTCCAGCAGTCGTGTGTTGCTGCAGGATCTTTGCTTTCATATGGCACAATTCCACACCGAGGTTTTCATTCCGAAATGGCTCCTGTGTGTGTGGAGTTCTGTGCTGACCACTCACAGAATTACAGAGTATTCTTAGTTGGAAGGGACACCCACAAGGACTATTGAGTCCAATGCCCTGATAGTTTAAATGCATGTGGCAGCCATAGGAATGTCCTGGTTAAAAATACACTTTCTTAATTTAACTGATAACTTCTCACCTTAGAAAATCAGCTTTTCTGCAATATTGAATGCACTTCAATGCAGACTGTGGGTTGCTGCTACTTAAAAGTTAAGAGTTTTGTCATAAAGTCACCCCTCACTTTGGAATAAATCAGAAAATAAAGGTCAGTGGTGCAGTTTTTGGCACTAGAGTCAGAAGCCAGGAATTAGGAGTTCTTTTAAAGCTTAACAAGATGTTAACTAAAAACTGGCTTAAGAGTAAAAAAACCACCTTTTTTCCCCCCCTTTTGCTTTCTTTGCTGTAAAATCCACCTCTCCTTAGCCAGTGTTTCCAGCTACATTAAAGAATTTGTGCATGGAGACTTTGGAAGAACAAAGCCCAATATTGGGTCCCTCCTGAACAGAACTGCTGACATTCTGGAGCTGGATGTGGAAGTAAGTTGTTTGCTATTTATCCTTCCTGGAAATTACTAAGGGGGTGGAATTTTTGAGGTGCTTTCCATGGAATTGCTCCAAGTGGATCAACATTCCTTAGCACAGTTAATAGAAAAATTAATATTAATGCAAGAACAATGATTTGTCCCACACTGCCACACGTGCCGGGCTTCCTCTTCCAAATTTGTGTCAGGGAGGGGTGGGAGGACACATCATGAATTTATAACACTAGTTATCAGCTTATCCTTGCTTAGATTTGGGGACAGGTGATGGTTTTCTACTCAAGCACCACCCAGTACCTGAATATTTCTGTGCCATCCGTCCACACGTGGTTTGTTTTCACACGGTGATGGCCCAGCTGCAGGATGGGGAGAAGCTGGAGACAGTTCACATTCCTAACAAACAGTTCTGGGCACTTTGGAAACACAGCCCAACATCCAGGGATGCTGCAAAAGGAGTTGTGACTCTTTTGATATGTGTAAAATATCAGCTCTGGTGATTTTGCCTTTTTTTCCCTCCCCTTTCCTAGTCTGTTGACGTCGACTGGCCTCCAACCCTGGATAACTGACTTCCCAAGGGATGAGGAAGCAGCAGCTCATGACCAAACACTGTGCAGTGTTTCAGCCTGGGTGCAAAGGGTTTCCATGGAACACTTGGATCATGTTGATCTGCCAAAGGATACCCTGACTTTGAATCTACTTTGAACACTCTGGACCAGGTAGCGTTGGTTCAGTCTCTGGCCTTACTTTAATTTCTTCCGTGCATAAAAAGGTTTTGGGAAGCCAGTGCATTCCTGATAAATTATAGTTAAAGATAACCCTCCCTCAAGTCAGATTTCTTTTGAAACTCTTTTTATATTGGATGCTACAGCTCTCCTTATCTGGATGCAGGTAGCACCGGGTTACCTGAAATCCCAACTCTTTCTGAGCACTGTTCCTGCAGGAAATCCCAAAAGCCAGGGAGACTGAAGCCAGCAGGCTAGTGCTGGAGCAAGTCTCCCTGCTGGCTGCTTTTTGGTCAGGGTTAGAGATGGGCAAATTTATCTCACAAAGGGCAAAAACATTTTTCAGAGGAAACCTTTGCACTTAAAACCAAGTTTTTCTAATTTAAAAACATGGGCGACACTTCCTAGAAACAACAGCTGGGGCCTCGTGAGCCCTCCAGCCTGGCCACAGTCCTCTCCAGGAGCAGGAATTCCCCAGTGAGTCACCATATATAAAAAGATTGGGAACTCCTGGCAGTGGTGCATGATGGGGATCTAAAGAAAAACAGGAATACCAAAGAACCTCAAAGTGCAGGCAGACACAAAACCTACCTGAGGATGTTGGAATCCAGAGACAGGGATTAAAAAGCTTTGATTCAGCAGCATAATACAATTTTTCTGACACCCTCACCTTGGATGGATGCCTGGAAGACTTGAACTTGCCTGGGATAGGGAAGATCTGAGGTTTGTAATTTGCTTATTTTAAATGTTTCCTACTAAGCACCACCTACATCTTCAGGAAGAGTCACTTTTATACCTGCATCATGTTAATCCATTGGGGAAGATGCTTCCCTGAAGTACAGAAGAGAGTTAAACTATCAGCAAGAAATTAAGGTTTGGAATTTAAGGGCTCTTCATTAATTAACATTTTGGAAATAAAGAGCATAATATTTGCCAAGACCAACCACTGTTTGGGGACAGGGAGGATGGCTGGGATGTCTTCCCTTTAATTCAGTGGTGCCAGGACCTCAGACCAGAACAGCTGCATGAGAGCTTGAGCTGGAGGCTCTAAAACTATTCATAAATACATTTTTAAGGAGTTCCTAAAAAATTCATCTTGAAAAATTCCACACTGCCTGTGCTGTGCTTTCCTAGCCCTCTGCAACACAAGTAATTCAGAAGCTCCTGGTTTTCTAACACAAAAATAATAGGAGCATGATTCAGGCAGCAATATTATTTTTGGTTTTAATCTTACAGCCAATATAAGCAACAGATTCCAGGAGTAGTTCTCAGATAATAACCTGTAGCCAGACAGGAAGTGTCATGAATGATGGAAAACTAAAGAAACTGAATTCAGAAAACAAACAAAAAGAGAATTTCAGTCTCACAACTGTGATTTCTTGAAACTCAGAGTGAGCTGAAATATGATTTATAAATTCCATAAACTACAGGGAACAAAAAATGTAAACAAGGCTGTGCATTTTGGCACAACAGGCATGAGAAGAGCTGTTCCAAGGGGGAATGGAGCCAAAGGGGGAAGGAGAAAGGGCTGCTCCTGCTCTAGGTCAAGGACACACAAGGCACTTCCCTCTGCAGCTCCTGCTGCACTTGGGGGTCACGTCCCAAATCCCAGTGCAGATAAACCAGGCTATAAACATTGCCCTCAGTGTGCTGAGGACACAGAGAGGTCCTCCAAAAATTCCCAATCATGATAAATGTCAGGCCTCCAAATGATGATGCAAATCCCTGCAGCTCTTGGGGCAGTTCCTGGGCAGGGATCATGGGCAAATATGAAACCCTGGGATGCAACCTGGGGGTTTGGACTTTGCTCCAAGGCCAGTTTCCAACAGCAGGTGACAACCCTTTGAACTGTCACGTGAGGAATATTGCAGCAATAATAATATTCATGGTGGACTTTGGCCTTCACCTTATTTTTACCAGTAAAACACCACCTTGTGAGCACTCAAACTGATGCTTTGAGAGCAAGATTTAATCCTGTGTTTCTCCAACTGGCCACCTCCAATCCCCCTTCCATTTGGGTTTTGCCTGGAGAAAGCTGTACCAGCAGCACAAATGTGCCCAAAGCATCTGTCCCCTCCTCCCCTCTGCCTAAAAGCTCAATGGCTCTGCCACAAAACCTTCCATTGCTTGAGGTTTTGTAGTGGCCACCAGTAACTGGGAGCAGAAAATACCCAAAAAAAGCTCCAGAACAAGCAAGTGATAACCTGCCTTGTTCCCTTTTCCCTGCCTTTCCCGTGGTGAGGGATGTCACAAAGCTGAGGAGGTTGCAGAAGCTGAGCACTTGGTATAACCAGTTTTTTTTAATTACCAAACCAACTCGTTTACAAAGGAAAACAGAACTTTGAAAATATTTAATTATACAGTAAAAACAAATTGTACTATAAAGAGCTTTCTATGAAGTGAGTAAAATGTTTACATTTAATATACTTAAAACTGAGAACTTCAAAAAAAAAAAAAAAGAACTGAATAAACAACACATTTCAAACTTTCTGTGTATTTCTTTGGTCTTCCTATTGCTCAAGACTGCAGAGGAGCTGTGAGGGAAAACTGCTTTAAAACAGGGAGAGTCAATTCATGGCTTTGTGCACCCGGAGTTTGGGGAAGCAGTTTCCCAAACTTCACACATCCTCCAGTGTGACTGTCACCTGTGCAATGGGGGGGATGGATTCCAGCAGCAGCACCAGAGTGCTCCCAACACAAGGGAATGCAGGGAGGGAATCCCATAAACCACAGAGGGGTTCTGGAGCTCCTTCCTTGTATCCAACTCTGTCTCAAGTGGCTTTTTTAGATTTAGGGGTGGTTTTTTGATTTTTTTTTTGTTTTGTTTTGGGGTTTTTTTATATCCAAGTGTGCTTTTTTTATTGCTGCTTTCATGGTCTGGTTTTATGTCACCAAATGGTAACAATTCAGACCCTCAAGCCTTATCTGCCCTACAGAGCAGATATATCACCTAAGAAATATTCAGACATTTCTTGCTGTGTTGCTTCTTTAAAAAAATAACAGTATAATAAAGTAGCCAAGGCCCAGAGTGTCTTACCCAGCCAGTGTCATGGAACAGCTCCTGGCTCAGGCTAAGAGGGGAGACTGGGAATCAGGTGGGAGGGAGGAAGTTCTGGTTCCTGATCCAGAGGAGAGAGGAGTGTTTTTAATTGGTACTGACTGAAATGGCTTTAAAGGTCATTAATAAGAGAAGAGGCTGCCCAAGGGCTGCCCCTGGCTTTGCCCTCCTGGGAGGGGGTGGTGCTGGGGGGGGGGCAGGATCTGAGCCTTCCTTTGAGCAGTCACTTGCATAGCAGGAAACTGCTGGGATACCTGAGGAAAAAAAAGCAAGTAGATACTTCGGCTCAAGAGATTCCCGCCGTGCAAAACGCCACACACACATCACAGCTACACTCACACACAACAACTGCAGAGCAATGACAGCTTCATCCCTAAAGCAACAGGGCTTGGCCTGTAAAACAAGTGCACTCTGGATGAAGTGCAGACTTTCTGTTCCTTCTCCTGTGCAGTGATTTCCTTTACAACAGAGCTGGACTATTTAAAAATTCAAACCTTCCGGTCTTTTTAAATACATCTAACAATGACATAGTCATTAAAAAAAAAAATTTCACCAGTCAATTTGCCTTCAAAGCAAATGGAGTGTGGAAAATCAATACATGTACTCATTTTAGAAGAACAGTATTTATAGAAAGGGGGTGTGAAACCTAAACCTTTCAAGTAGGCTGAGTTGAACTTTAATATCTGTAGATGAGACTGAACTAGAGTGCTCATGTGCAGGTTTGTTTTCCTAATTTCTGTCCTATCAAAAATTGAATTCCTATAGCAAAAAAATGGCTGCTTTGAAAGAACTTTAACCCTGTGAAGTATTTGAAATTTTAACCCTTCTGAAGACACCAGCTTTTACAGTCCCCAAAGGCAAGGAAGCTTTAAGTGTTACCATTTCCCTTTACCAACAGCGCCAAAATACACCTAACAAGGTACTTTTAAGGTACAGGACCCCAAACCCTACCCCCACCTCCCCCTTCTTGACGGGCACCACTACGGGCTTAAATAACTTAACTCTTATGGTAACTTAAATAACCTTAAGTTCCATCGTCAAACTTGCACAGCGACACTCTGAGGGAGAAAGCGGGGACTCCAGAAGGGCGAGCGACTCCTCTCCACGCGGCGGCGGCGGCACCTTTGGGAAGCTCCGCCCCTCAGGGGTTGTAGCTTTGTAGGATGTTATCGAAGGGGAAGGACTGGTAGAGCTCGCCGTCGCCGTCGTAGAACTGGGCGTCTGCCAGGCCGCCCTGGTGGGCGGTGGAGAGTCTCGGCTCGCCCAGAACCTCCGGGCCTATGAAGTCGTAAACGGGGTCGGCCAAGCCGGGCTGGGAAGCGAATCCCGCGGCGCCGGCCCCGGGCGGGCCCAGCTGCAGCTGCTGCCGGGGAGCGCCTGAGTTCAGCACCACGCTGAACTTGTCGAAGTTGATGCTGGTGCAGTTCATGTCGTCGGTGTCCATGCTGACGATGCCGGAGGCGGCGCCACCGGGATGAGCCGCGTGCACGGCGCCGCCGCGGGAACGCTCGGCAGGTCGACGTTCGACGCCGCCGCAACTCCCAGCCCGTTGGTGCTGCCGTAATTCCGGTAAAAGCCCGAATCCTTCTCGTCGGGCCAGTTCACAGGGTCGTGGAAGGTCGGGAGGGAGCCGCTGCCGTGAGCCGGCTGAGGCGCATCCGCGGAGAAGCTGTTGGGTGGGTGCGTGCCCAGCAGGCCGCCGGCCGAGGAGCTGTGCAGCCAGCACGAGGACAGCCCGTCCTGCTTCCCTGGGCCCACCGGGGCCAGCTGGCTGCAGCCAGGGTACATCTGACCAGCGCTGGCCAGGGATCCCAACCCGGGAATCATCAGCGAGGATGAAAACAGGTTTGGTTCTAATGGAGAGAACGCCAGGTTTAAGGATTTTTTTTTTAAAATTACGAATGGTAACAAGCAAAGAAAACACACTGCAAGGAAACACTCTGTAAGACTGCATTTCCACTTTCACACTTGCTTAGCTGCTCTCCAGGGTGGGCCCCAGATTTCTGGACAGCAGCAGAGAGCTGTGCACCTCACCCCTCTGTGGCCCACGCTGAGGGTGATGGCTACAGTTACGTAAAGAACTGATGGGTTTATGTTTGTATAGTCAAAAGTATCAGCATCTTACAGGAAGAAGCCCTCCAGAGATAAGAATTTCAAGCAAAGAGGAGGGCACTGTTTGTTTCAAAGCACTGTGAGACTGTAAGCAAAAGCCTACCTTTTTTAATCATCTTCCCTTCAGGAGTGACAACGGGGAACGGAGTTACTTTGGGCCTCTCTGTTGTGTTTGATCCTGCGATGGAAGAAAGCGTGAGTCCACTCCAAATGTTTGCTCTCATACAAAACAGCTCCATCGAAATGTAAGTTCCCTCAACAAGAAAAAAAGGCAAATATTTTCCTTACCACAGTCCTGCATGAGCTTTTGCAAAGCCAACGTTGATCTTTGCCTTTTTGCCTTGTTGCCATATGGATCTACAGAGAAAGGAGCGGAAGGGGAAAGTGTTACCCTTCTCTTGGACACAGCATGTAAAGGAAGTTCCTAGAGGCACCAAGGTGCAGAGAGATACATTTAAAGAGAAATATTTCAAGCATGGCAGCACTGACAAACCATGACAGTGTTATGAACAGTGATTCTTGACACTTTTACTGAAAGAGGGAACAAACTGACCGTTGTTACTTTTAAAATCCAAAACACTGCTTCGCGTAAGTTGTAGAATTTTTACTAATTAAGCGACTACCTCGAGTTCTGCACTGATAATTGCTTTTCAGAAACACAGCTAATTGGGACCATACCCTTCTCATCTGGTAGGTATCTGAAATCCATAGGCTCACTGACTTCCTGGTCGGAAGGTCTGCGGAGCTGCATCTTCACCGTGACGGGCTCGGTGATGTCCTTGAGGAACGGGGGCGTCCGGAACACGATCGCGACCTGGCGGTGAACGTCGGCCTGGGAGAAGGAGCCCTTGGCCTCCCAGTTGTCCAGGACAAATCTGACTTCTATATCATCTGGCCCATTAGAAACAGAAGATGCTCGTTAAGCTGGGAAACTGAAAACTTCCAGCAGAAAAGGGGAGGAAAGGAAGGAGCCCCACTCGGAGTTCAGGTGCAAAGTGGCTCGACTTTAAAGACACAAGAGCCCTTGAACCTGAAAGCTGCTCTGCCCAGCTATAAAACCCAACCACTCAGGGTGTGTGGTGAAGGGTCTCAGCCCCCCAGCAAGAAGTGGCAGTGTCAGCCCCCTGGGACAAAGATTACCTTTCTGAACTTTGTCACACAGCAGAAATATTTCGTCTCCTCCCTTTACGCTCCCACAGTTCTTGTTCACGCGGCAAATTCTCAGCTCTGCGGTGTTGGGAGCTCCTGGAAACAAAGAGGCAAATTTGATGACAAAGAATGACCCTGACTTTGTGACTGTTGGATACAAGGTGCTGGGAGTTAAGGCACATAACGGGAAGGAGCAGCTGGAGGAGTGATATCCTGAAATCCACACGCAACAAGTCGCTCCATGAAGGGAATTCAGAAGCAGGGCCTGATATTCCCTGACCCTGCAGCTCTAAGCTGCTGATCTCCAAACAAAAGACACCAGCACAGCTGCGACACTCACTCCCCTGACTGTTCTGGAGAGGTCTCAAAATACTTCTCCAAACGATGTGGTTGTGCTTGGCCCTGCTGCCCTTCAAGCTGCAGAATAATTCAAAGCAGTGCTTTGAGTGACTGGTTACCTGGTACAGTCACACTTCTCTGGAAACAGCTGGGCTGGCAAGTCATGAAAATTCCCCTCTCTGTAGTTTTATTCACAGAGATACTTGGCCATCCAGCCCTTCCTCTGCTACCCTCTGCAGGTGTCTAAGAACAGGTTTAGGACTGTAATTTCATACCTTTACTCAAGGTAGCAGGTTTCACCCCAAAATGCTCACATTTCAACCCCAGACTGTGGCAAAGCATGAGCAGCCCTCAGGATAGCTGTGGATGGAGAGCTGCCTCTCACTGTATATGTCACCATGAACTAACCCCACTGAAGGCTGCACACCACATCCCAACCACCTCATGACTGCAGGCAACTCCAGTGGGATGGAGCCACGGATCTGCCTGGTGGTGCCTGGCCCTGTTCTGGAGCAGCAGCTCCAAATACATTTAAAATGCTTGGAAGGATCCAGCTGGTGCTGCTTTTGCCTCCCCAGAAGCGATCCTCCACAGCACCAGGAGGCTCTGCCACCACAGGCTCCCCGTTCCAAACACAGATTAAATACAAAACCAGAGCTCAGGGTGTCACCCTCAAAAAAACCCAAACAAATAAACAAACAAATCTGCTTTAAACTCCCAGTTTGAGTCAATTCCCGCCCAAGTACAGCTACAGTGCAGCACAACACAGACTACACCTAGAGCAGAGTTCCTGGTAGCCTCACACCAGACCCCAATTACGTAG